AAAAAAAAAAAAAAAAAAAAGCTGCATGTGGCAATTGCTGGATTCCAGTCCTAGAAGTGTGGCCAAAGAGACAATCCAAGGGACCTCAGGCAATGTCTACACACAGGTTGGGATGTCACACTGGGGAGGCCACTAGCATCAGAGGGATAGTGGCCAGGGCTACTGTTCCATATCCTACAATGCCCAGGACAGTCCCTGCCACAGAGAAACATCTGTGGGCCCTGGGTCAACATTGCTGAGGTTGTAGAACCCTGGCTTAGAATGATCATCCCTTCCTCCTTCTCTTTATTTAGATCTTGATTTAAATGTCATCTCTTCACAGAGACTTGGCCAGCAGCCCCTCTTTCCCACTGGCCTTTTGTGAGCTTTCTTTTTGTAGATCTGTGTGTGTTGCAAATGTATATATTTATGGTTGGTTGTCTCTTCTCACTCTCCCGCCTTAGGCTCTGAGCTTCAGAGGATTTGTATCCCTTATCACTGAATTCACAGAGTCTAACATATAGTAGGTGCTCATTACATCACGCAATGAATGAACGGCTGTGGGCAGAATATACCCACAGAACTCTCACTCAACTTGATCACTGCCATCTGCATGAGGACACAGAGCCCCCTCCCACCCGTACCAGTACATTGCCCACAACTCAGAAGAGGCCTCTTTGCTTATTGCAGACCACAATTTCTCCCCAATGTCTGTCGCCTCTGTCTCAAACTTCCCTCTAGCACAGAAGGTCAGGGTATTTTCAAAAGAGAAGAACTAGCCAAGCTGGTACTTTTTTTTTTTTGTAAGTGGTGAAAGAAAGAAAAATTAAGATTTGTATTTAATCATTAGACTTTCAAATCTAAGAAGCCACGATGCAAATAGCATTGTTGGCAGAAACAATTGCTGCCTACTCCGTGGAGTGGGGGGAGCCGTTCTTCTGATCTAATTTAAGCGAAAGACATCGCAGCTACTATTGTGTGACTTTCTCCTTGCTCACGGTCTGGGGGAGATGTTATCGGCAGGGCAGGAGGTGTGAGGGGTGTGAAGCGGGGGAAGGAAACGGAAAGCGATGGTCCTCGTGGCCGCTAAGCTGGTTGTCAGAGGCATTTTGAGATCCAAAGTGGAGCCGGTGGTCCACTAGGACCCCAGAAGCGACGTGGTGAAAGCTGGATTCTGAACCTTGCACTCAGGGAAGAAAACAAGGAGTAAAGGGTCAGATTCCTTTTCCTCAACTCTCTGTGCGGCATATCCTGACTTTCTGGAAGATCGGGCCGAACCGCAGAACTTTAGCAAACTGCCTCAGAAGAGAAGAGCCCCTGCCCTGCCTGCCCTGCCCACGACATCATCTTTCCTCAGGGCCCGCGGATGTCGGGCTTCCAGCCCAGCTGCTACGTGGCTGGGGTACATTCAGGCCTTGCGGGAAGCCATCCTGGAGAATAAATGATTCTCTCCAAACAGCAGGCAGATTGCCAAGTAAGATCAGACACTTGGTCTTAGTGATAGAATCTTTCTGCATTTTCCAAGTTCCTTGACTAAATCTTCTGTAAGGGCCCAAAGGGCTGTTTATAAATAACAGCCTGAATGACTGGGCTTCTGGAAGTTTCTGAGGCCTGAGTTCTAAACCAACCTCTATCCCTTAAAAAGGACCTGACTAGGGAGGAGTTTATCTGCCCTGTCTGGTCCTCAGACCCTGCTGCTGTATAGGGAGGGGAGCATGAGGTCATGGATGGTCACATGTCCTTCTTGAGCAGCAACTCTCATTTCCCATGGCTGGGTCTGTGATCAGTGAGAAGGTGTGCTGTGATCAATTAGTGATGTCTGCTTGGAGCACAGGCTGTGGCAACAGGGGCAGAAATGTGATAATTTGCCCTCCTTAGCCTTCCTCTGGGACTCTGCTTTTCCTACCAGCAGTGAATGGAAGATCAGGAGCTGCTATGGTCAATGACCCCCACCTCCATCGCTCTTCCAGGGTGCACCTTGGATCAACTCCCTGGTATTTCTCACATGCCACCCTCTGGGAAGTCTGGGATGGATGAGGCCCACATACCTTTCCTCTTTAAGCAGGTGGTCTCTAAATGTTCTGTGTTCAGCTGCTCTTTGTGGGCCAAAACGTTGACGCTTGCTTCTTGAGCACCAGAAGGAAAAACTAAGCTGAACTCACAGAGATTGTCCTTGGTGGGGATTCAGAAACCAGCCTGTAAAAGCTTGTACAAAGGTCCTATTGGCTTTTTAGAAATTTGACCACACAATAGTCTTTAAAGACAATTGTTTAAAGACTGGCACAGTAGCCTTTTAAATGACAAAGCCTGCAATCCAAAAACAAGTTTCACCTAAGCACTTCCAATGCGTATTTGTCCCAGGGTCCTTTCAGTAACACAGGGTCCATCAATCACACACGGGAGTACAGGTCTAAGGGGCGCAGATGCTCCACAAGGTCTTATGTAGATCAGGCACACTGTAAGTGAAGCCATTTCCTCCAGCTCAGTCCTCAGCAGAGGGACACACTCAACCTCATGAGGTGAGTCCTTCATATTTTGGGTGCCAGGAAAGGGCTGAATAATCCCACTGATCTGGAAGGAAGGACCCTTCCTACCCAGGAGGGAAGTCCTCTCGCTGGTCAGTCCCTTGGGAACCCAGGACCACAGTTAAATGTCAAGCGCCAGAGAGCGAGAGAGGTGCTTGGAAGAGAGGGAGGCTGGCAGACATGTGTTTCCTGAAAATTCGGGCAACTGCTGGCATCCTCGCAGCCTGGGAACACAGGTGGGTGCCCTGCACCCTCCCTTCCATGATTCCCTGTTTCTTCTCCCTCTCTGAAGGTCACTAGCTGGAAATCAGCCTTGGATGCAGGGACTGTGGTACCCCCGTGGGTGGCAGGACACAGAGAACTTGATATGGGTAAATTCTTAGGGATGGAAGAGGCTACAGAGTCATTTGAAAAATTTTGGCTCTACAACTTCGTGGGTCTCTATCCCTGTTGTTCCATCAAAATGGAGACAAAGGTATCTGCCTCCCAGGACTGTCGTGAAGACTCCACCAGCCCAGCACATGGTATGTATTCAGTGAACAGCAACTATTAGAGCTGGAAAGTTACTCTGCTTTCCAGGTGTCCCAGACCTCTGATCTATGGGACCGCACAAGTCACACTTGTTAATCCTGGCAAATGCATTTGAAAGGGAGACATGGCCTCCACAACAGAGATGGGACTTCAACACCACCAAACCCCTGCCAACAGAGCCCTGTGACCTCCTGTGGCCAGCCCATGCTCTCACCCAGCACCTCTCCCTCCCTGCATTCTGAAAATATCTATTGAGCACCAACTATGTTCCAGGCACTGTGCTAGGAGCTGGCACAAAGACAAGTCAGGAGGTCAGTAGGGTCCTGTCCCCATTTAGCAGGTAACTAAGAATTGGTGTGGATTACAGAGATTGAGAAGGAGTCAGTGACTTGGTGCCTAATCACATGCACTGACCAGAGGAAAAGAAGCCTGAGGTTGCTTCCACATTCTGGGGCCCAGCCTGCTATTTGTGGCTTCTCATTCCCTTGGAGTGTGGGACAGTTTCCTTACAGGTGGGTGCAGGTGAAAGCAGCTGGATGGACGAGGTGACATTGGAGCCCAGGAAGAGTGTCCTCAGGAGCCTGCCAGGAAACTTCCCAGGCAAAGCCAAGGAAGGAAGGAACAAAAGCCCAGCTCCCCAAGGTCACTCCTCTGCCCCCAAGTGAGAGTATGAACAAAATCAAACATGTGTCACCAACACCTTTAGACTATGCCATGACATGCCCTCAAGTGACTGTCCCTCTGCAGATGAGCCACCCACACACAGGCCACAAGGAGCTGAAATCTGCAGCTGCTGGACTCAGTGATGGGAAGTGTCCTTCAGGAGAGGCTTCTGAAGTAGACAGTGGTGGCCTGAGCCTTGTGTCCTAGGGGTTCTGGGGAATCTAGGATTTGGGGGACCTAGGGTCTGTCACAGAGGGACCAAGGTGAACTGTCAAGGCAAGAGAGAAAGCTCTGGAGAGCAGGCTCCTCTCCCAACCATGCCTTGAAAGATATGCTGAAACCCTAACCCTCAGGGCTGCAGAATATGACCTGACTGGCAACAGTCATCGTGGATGCAATTAGTTAGAATAAGGGCCCCTAATCCAGCATGAATGGCATCCTTATAAGATGACAGCTACACGAAGACAAAGACACAAAGACACCACAAGGAGGGTGGTGTGCAAGGATGGAGAAGAGATTAGGGTGATGCCATGCAAGTCAAGTTGCCAACATATGCCAGCACCTGCCAGAAGGAAGAGGAGGCAGGGAGGCTGCCCATCCAGGGGTTAAAGAGGCATAGCTCTGCCCATCTTTGCTTTTGGACCTCCAGCCTCCAGAACCGCGATAGAATACACTTCTGTTGTTTCCAGCCACGCAAGGCAATGTGCAGTATTTCTGTTACAGCAGCCGTGGGAGGCAGATACAGAGGGGAGTGAGGCTTGGGTACAGTGGCCCGCTTGGAACAAGACCAGCCCTTGGGGGATGGGTGGGTGAAGGCTGACAGGGCACAAGGATGGGGAGGATGTGTTTGGGGATGTAATGTTGAGACCAGTGGGGAAAGCAAGCCTGAGATGGAAGTATTGCCCCCCCCAAGGGCCCTTTAAATCCAAATCCTTAGATAGGCATGGTGGTGCACACCTGTAATCCTTGCCCTCTTGGAGGCTGAGGCAGAAGAATCACAAGTTTGAGCTCAGCCTGGGCAATTTAGTGACTTGGTGAGACTGTCTCAAAAAGAAAAAGAAGCAAATAATAAAAAGGACTGGGGATGTAGTCAGTGTAAAGGCCCGGGGTTCAATTCCCAGTAGTGAACAAAACAAAACAAAACACAAAAATAACCCTCAGATCCTTAGAAATCCCAAGTGGTATTGTAAGGGCCTGAAATGTGTTTAGCCACGTGCTCATAGGTCCTGATCCCTCAGGGTACTGTATTTGGAGGAGAGCCTTTAAAGAGTTCAGTGAGATTAAATTAGGCCAAAGGACTGGGTCCTTCACCCTATGTAAAGGTGGAATCCTTGTAGGATGAGATACCATGGATGTGAAGTTCCCTGAGAACACTGAAGCCAAGCAGAGCGACCTCCCATGGAAGCAACCCTGACACCTTGATGTTGAACTTCCGGCCTCAAGAGCTGTGTGAAGGAAATTTCCGTTGTTTCAAGCACTTAGTGTGTGGTACATTATCATGGCAGCCTGAGCAAAGCAGTGGGGTCTTAAAGACCAACTAGTTCATGCAGCCTCAGGGGCTTGAATCCCTGCCTAGCAAACATGCCATGTGGTCAACATCGGCACCTGTCCCAGGAAGGGCGCTGTTACCTCCCCGGGAGTCCCCTGTACCTTTGGACTGTGAGACAGTCCTCTCCCTCACTTCTGTCCCTCCTCTGGGAGCCGTACACAAGTGAATTTATTCTCCTGTAAGTCTTCTCTATCAGAGGCTGGCAAAGAGAGTCAAGGCCCAGATTACAAATATTTTAACTGTCTTGTCTCTGCTGCGAATAGCTCCATCATTGTAACGCAAAGCAACCATGGAGACCATGCAAACAAACAGGCATGTCTCAGTGCGGTTCCAAGGGCGGACATGAACTTTGAATTTCATAGGACTTCCCCATGTCAAGAGATAGTCTTCTTCTGAGTTTTCACCCCAATTCAATATAGGTAAAAAAAACGATTTGGTCGGCTTGGTGTGGTCCTGGGGATGTAATTTGTGAATCTCAGCTCTGGATTTGTCAAGATAGTGATCATCTGGGGCTAAGTTTGGCCCTTTCCTCCACATGCCTCTGATGGTGGGGGCAGCGCTTGGGAAATGCAGGGAGTCTGGGTTCGCGTGTGCTTGGGGTGCGTGGTGTATGATCACAGGTTGGAGCTGGGGAAGGGGAAGGACCAAGTTTATTGGATTCAGGGATCTGACTGCTGATGCCAATCGAGGGCTTCCACTGGTGGAAGGGGCCAAGGTGGGTGTAGTAAGAAAGAAGAGGGAACCTGATGGCAAGATCAGATGTTTTCCTCTTTGACCAGTAAGAGGAAAACCAGAAAAAGACCCATCTAAGTGGTGATTTGGTTTCCAGTTTGGCTCGGGATGGGGAGAATGCGGAATATCCCAAAAGAGGGTTTTTTGTTTTGGGAAAGACCTGTGGCCTAGAGGAATGGGTGGAATGCAGCGTGTAAATCTACACATATCCTAGGAAGAAAAGAAATGTTTCTCTCGGGGCTCAAGGGCTTCAGGGGAATCTTACCCAGCAGATCAGCTGTCTTAGGCAGCCTGTCTAAAGAGGGATTTGTGGAACTCAAGGCACAGACGGAAACAACTCACTGTCAAGCGGGTGACTTGTGTCAGTAAACACACACACACACACCTTTGCCAGGTGGACTGTATAGATTTGAGCTACAGGACAGGTTAGCAGCTAGGATGGAAAAATTTATAGCGCGCTCTCTTCTTTTCCTTGCAAAGGATGGCCCTCTCCCCATCCCATGCATACACTGAGGCCAGCAGGGAAGAGAGTGGCTTTGTTTTCCCAGGATTTAAAAATGTACAGAGTAAAGGGGCCACCAACAGGCTATGGTGATGCAGTTGGGGTTGGAGAGGGGGTCCAGGAGGATGCCCAGATGCCCCCAGGACTGCAGTAAAGATCTTGGCAGGTGGGGGCAGAGCACAGAAGGAGAAGAAAGAGCAAGAAGTCCAGAAGAGGTGATATGGGACCCAGGGACAGACCCAAGGAACTCTGGTCTACAAAGCAGAGAAGCTCCAAGAAGAAAAGGTCAGGATGGGGTTTCTCCCTGGGTCACCCACTCCCGTCCCTAATCCTGAAGAGGTGCTCATGAACACATGGAAATGTCACCTCTCAGGGCCCTGCCAAAGGCTGTGGTTGGCCACTGTGGCCCAGAAGGTGGAAACAAGAGGGGCAGAGAGGAAGTTCAAGCCCTTGTGGGCAATTCAGCTTCAGAGTAGCTGAACACTGGCTACTGCTTCCCTTTTCTGCTTCCTCTCAAAGACTGATCTGTGGACCCATGGTATCCTGGTGTGATGAAAGAGAAGTCAGCAGCTGGATTTCAGACACTCAGTAGGCATCGGGCAGAGCCAAGGAAGGCCCAGGCCCAGCTCAAGGTTGATCCATAGGGGAGCTTGTTTGATGGGGAGACATGGCCTGCAAGAGCTGTTCCCAGAAACACCAGAGCTCTGGGGCCCCTGAAAGTATATGTAAAATGCCTTCAAGACACACTAATACAAAGCTGAGGGTCACAGAGATGTACAAATGTCCCTAGAAGAAGAAGAATGTCCATTTACAAACTGCCCACATGGGGTTTTGAGTCCCCTGGTGTCAGACAGGTGGGATCATAGTTAGAAAGGCAATGAAGCACCTTGGGGAAGTATGGGGGTCTCCCTGGAGTCCAGCTCTTAGGAAATGTGACTTTTCTCATCATCCTTTCTGGCTTGGAAGCAGGCAGGTCCCCAGAGCATGGACCAGTCCGGGCCACCCAAGGTGGGGAAGATCCCTACTTGTATGTCCGGTTGAATTTTGAGCCTCAGCACAGGCAGGGTTTTGAAGCCTCAGCTCTTCTCTCTGGGAGGGAGATGCCTGCAGAAGGTGCCAGCTATACGATGACCAAGGCCCATGACACCCAGAAGTCCAGAGGGGGAGTGGGCCGACCCTGGGCATCCTGCCAGCTGCTCTGCTTGGGGGTGGATCAGTGGGGTCAGGGTTTCGGGAAATGGACCCACGTGCCACATCCAATCTGCTTACAGCATCCTTTACACAGCACGATGGTAGAACCCTCGAGAAAGCCACCAGCCCAGCACATAAACAGAAGGAGGGAGAGGAGGGACACTGGGCAAACACAGACAGGCAAGGGGGCACAGGCTTCAGATGGGGAGGCCACTTGGAGACTCAGAACCAGGCTAGCACGGAAAATGCAATGCTACAAACAGCTATCCTTCTTCACCTCCTCAAAGGACTCCCGAAGGGTGAGAGGAGGAGAGGTCCTTCACGTGTACAACCCTGGATCCCAGTGTGTGACATCCCAGGGACCCAGATCCATCACTGTGGGTGGAGCAACTCCACGATGTCAGCACAGAGCGGGAGGGGAAGGAACAAACTGCGCTTCCTTCCCCAGAGCTCTAGGCCTTGGAGCCCAGACTTCAGGGCGTGTCAGGAATGATGGACCCGTAGGGAAACCCCAGGTCGTTCTGGCTTGGAAGCCACTGTGCCTTTCACATGGCAAAAGGAGGGTCGGATGAGACAGGATGACACTTTTGTGGAACGGAAGGCAAAGGCGGAACCCAGAAACTACTACCCCTGAGAGACTCAGAGCTCAAAAGACATGCAGAACTCTTCCGCTGCCTTCTGGAACTATATGCAAAGGTGCCATAAACCTCTGTGGCCTTGGGCTGGGGCCTCTGAAAACAGATGTTTCCAAAGGAAGAAGCTTTAGCCAACCCTTCTTTCCCACCTTGACCAAGAAGCCTGGACAGGGCTGGTGCTGGCTCTGATTCCTTCCCACAGTGACAAAAGCAGCCAGGGACACTGCACACCTGGGGCAGTCTGGATACCACTTTTCCAGGCGGAAAGAGAGCAGAGCCTGGGCCACACGGTGACGCATGCGCACAGAGAAACTCCTAGGTTCCTACCCACAAGGTCTCCGCCCTCATCCGCAGAGCCTGGGGCACCACTCTCAGCCTGCATTACTCTTGACTACACGGTAAGCCCTGGGCCTCACGCATTAATCTTGCGATATCCTCCTGGCTGATCCAGTTCAGTCCTAGCTCGGGGTTCCTGACCCTGCCTGAGAAAAAGGGCGCAAGTCTGGGTTGCGAGCAGGGCAGCCCCCGCGCGAGTGTGCAGCGCCCCCAGGCTGGCCGGGTCGGGACCCTCTGAGGTGAGCCTCTGGCCTCCTGAGCTGGCAGAGGGCAGAGCAGGGAAGGAGAGGTGATTCGGAGCTGAGGCGGCTGAGCGCCATCCGACTGTCCCACGGTCACAGCCTGGAGTGGGGAAGAGAAGAGACAGCGTGGTGAGAAGGGACGTGGGCGTGGCGGTTCCATCCTGGCGCCTTCTCAGAGGGTCCTGTGCCTTGAGATGAGCAGCCCCTGTCCTTTCTGAGTGAAAAGGACCTCTGTTACCTGAGGCCCTACTGTGAGCCAGTCTCTGTGTCCAGCGCCACACACACACCTGATCTCATTTAAACCCGAAAACAGCTTGCAATATAGGCACAGCAGACCCTCTTCAGTGAAAACTGAAGCCTCAAGGGGTTAAATTTTGGCCCAAGAGTGCACAGCCAGGAAGGGGCAGGGCTGAATTCGAACCTAGATCTCTCCTACTGGAGCATGTTGCCTCTGGGCCAGGGATGGTCAACCATTGTGTGGGCTGGAGGAGACTCAGTAAAGGCTGGGGATACAGGATGAGCACGTGAGACCAGGATCCACACGGTGGTCTGCGATGAACGGTGGGTTACTACTCATAGCAGCAAAAGGACCTCAATTGTTTTGTTCGCCACTGTATTCTCACTCAAGGGATGGTGCCTGGCACCTAATAGATGTCCAACATGCACAGGCTGAATAATAAAAACCCGGAATGAATGGAAAATTCCACCGGATCTAAAGTCCCATGAGGCCGGAACACGTCTTGTTCTTTCTGTGTTCTCAGCCCAGTACCACAGCCAAAGGAAATAGAAATGAAGGCTCCTTTCCCTCTCCAACCAGCGAGCTGTATGCCTCTCTCAGCTCTTGAATGCCTGCCCTCCTTTCCGGACCCCAGGAGAATAAAAGTCACAGGCAGACAGCCCAAATGACCCCTGAATTTTGTAGCACCAGGGTCCCTTGCGGAACCCCAACACCAGTTCTGGCCAGCACTCCCTTGGTGGGGGAGAGGTTTCGCTTGGTAGAGTCTCCTGTCTGTTTTCATGTCCAGTTGTTTCTAAATCCTACTAGGACGCCAGAACGGGGCTCACTGTCTCTCCTGTGGATGCCACGATATAGTCAGCACCTGCTGGCTGGGCTGCACTGTACCAGTTACCCAAGGACATGAAGCCACTGGACCCTCGTGGCACTCTTGCTAGAAGCTTTCACTGCCCTCGCTTTCCAGAGCATGACACTGTACCCCAGAGAGGCCAAAGGACATGCTCAAGGTCACACAGCTGTTGAGCAGTGGAGTAGCAGTTCCAATTTATGCCTGCCTGATTATGAAGTCCATATTCTTCCTAATGGCTTGAGGAGAAAGCTGAGCCTCTCAGGGGAGAAGAGATTCCTTTCTCTACATTCAACAGGTTGGGGTGAAGACTGGAGGAGTCTCCTGATGCCCTGGGACCTTGGGTATCTTCATGGGGTCTCCTGGGGAGACTAGGATAGCTGCTGTGTTTAGCTGCGCATACAGGCGGGGACTTGCAGCACTATGTGTCCATGTGTAGGCATGTACAGCCGGGCAAGCATGTGCGTGCATGTGTGTTTTCATGCATCATGTATGTGACTGGCTCCTGCACATGTGTGTAGCCGAGCCCGCCTCTGTCCTCAGGCTGGATGTACAGGTGTGTTTCCAGGGAAGGTTCTTGTATGCTATGTGTGTCTATATCTGAGTGAGTATACACACATATCCTGTGTGAGTGTACACACATGTGTATGTATACCTGAGATTGTATGCACGAATGAACACAGGCAGGTGTGCCTGGGAGCACCTTGCGGAGCAGAACATAACAGAGTCCCCGTAGCAGCCTCCTGGGCCTGCCTCCCTCTCAGCTCTACAGAGAACACTGCAGAGGCTGGGCTGAAAAGGAGACCCAGAGAGAGATCCCCTCTCATGATTACAGGGAGGGTTCTGGGTCTGCAGGCAGGAACAAGGCAAGGTGGCGTGTGGCCTCACAGTGAGGACAGAGGTGCTCGAGGCAAGAAGTGCTGCAAACCTTTCTCGTCTCTGTGCTCAGATGCTAGAGGATGCTGGGAGTCCAAAGCTGCCATGAAGGGCCAGGCTGCTGGCCTGGAGGGGGATTTCCATCAAGCCAGGCCCAATGGAGGGGTCCCTGACGCAAGACAGATGGGACCTGGCAGGCTCAGGGTGCCACCTCACCACGTGATACTCAGACTCTCTGGACCTTGGCCTTCATCAGGAAGAGAGAGGCAATGAGAGAGCCACGGCAGCCACAGAGTGACTCAAGGCCCCAAGTCCCACAGCAACAGATTCTCTGAACGGAAACCTTGTAGGGACAGGATGTGCTGGGGTGAGTGGGGATGAGGAAAGGGGCTGATGAGGGGAGCAGTCTGGGAAGGGGCAAAAAAGTGACAAAGGCTTGGGGAGAGAGGTGGAGGGAGGAAACCTACTCTGCAGACTTCCAGAAATGTCCCGGGTGAGACAGGCGACGGTTTCGCTTTGGCAGTTTCTCCAGCATGTCCATGAGCTTGGTGAAGGTGGGCCTCTCTTCTTGTTCAAAGGCCCAGCAGAAGAGAAGGATGTCCTAAGAGAAACCAATGAGTGGATGTAGAAGGTGACGTAATTATTCCCTGGTACCTCATTGGGTCTATCCACCTGTCCATCACCCGCCCACTTCCGTATCTTTCCGTCATTCATCCACCAAGTATCCATCCGGGTCAGTACGCTCAGTCCTTTTTCATTCATCTTCCATCCCTCCTCCCCACCTACTTTCTGAGCCCATATAACAAACTAGGCTTCTATGCTAGAAGGCCCGGGATACATCATGGTCAACAATGATCACCAAGAGGTTTCCGGGCACTTTTCTAAAGAAGCCTGAGGTCTCCAGCCACAGCTGAAGAACCTAAGTACCTTTCAAGGCCAGCCTACTTTGCCTCATTTCCTCACCCAAGAAAGGAAACTTGGAGGTGGGTAATCCTGACAACCAGACCAGATAATTACTGCTTCCCTGACTTATCTGTCTCCTGATCAAAGGAGAATTCTTCCTGCTGTGTTTAAGAGGAAGATTATTAATGTATAGTCAGGCTTTTCTGTTTCTGTATCTCTTGTTCTGAGTTGGATAATGCTTAAAATTATTGTGCAGATGAAAATAAAAGTAACACCAAAACATTTTTTGATGTTTTAATGACTATCTTTAAAAATATTACAAACAAAGAACGGCTCTTCTGTCCAACCTAGCAAGCCATTGCTGGGGAAAAAAACCCCTGACCAAGTGTTACTCTGCCTCTAGTGTCAGGCACCTGAAATTGCAGGCATAGTGCCTTCTAAACTCCAAAGTATGTGCTTTTTTTGGTCACCTTACACAGTTCAAAAGGAAGTCCAGGCCTGCATCTACGTCTCCCCTTGCCCCCCAGACCTGGTCTATTGTGGGACTTACCGAGATTTCTTTTCCCATGCCGATCTGGCTGAGATTGGGTTTCATCCCGGTGCCCATCTGCCAGATTATGGCCTCTGCTGGTTGGGTCTTGAAAGGCCACTCCCTGGCATGGAGTTCGTACCAGATTGTGCTGTTGGCAGACGTTTTAGAGGGGTGTTGGTGTGGCAGGTCACTTGTGACCCTGGAGCCCCTGCTCACCAACACCCATCCAGCCAGCTTCTTCCTTGCAGGATGGGCACATCTTGCCCCCGGCACATGCTTGAAGCTCTCTTAATGTCTTAGACGTCACGCTTGTCCCAGGATAGCCTCTTATGTGCCTGAGTTAAAATGCATCAAACTGAACACCCTGGGCAGTTTGATATGATGTGGTTACAACCTCTGACTCTGTATTTGTGATTCTAGGAAATTACTGTAGATGAATGATTTGGGATAATGATATTCATTAATAAGGATGTTCTCTACAGCATTATTATATAATACTGAAAGAAAGCAGAAATAATTGCCCAACAATAGAAACAACTGCTCAATAACAGGGATTGTATGTATCACGGCAAATTCATAAAATGAAATGGAATACTATATTGTTATGAAAACACTTCAAAGAAATTATGCTGACATTAAAATGCTCAATAGATCATTTTTTAAATGAAATAAGCAGGCTGTGAGATTATATAGATAGGGTCTGACATTACTCTTTTTAAAGTCAGATATGTATGGGCAAGAGAAAAAGTGAAACACCCCACATGTTAATAATAGAGAACGCTGGATGTTAGGGTAGGATTTCTTTCCCCTTTGGTATCTGTTTCTTAAGTGTGAACCCGAGTGTTGAATGGTAGGGAATTAGACTGGTTGTATGAGGCCGAGGAGGGTGCTTCTCTAAGTGGAGGTTTCCTTGGCTGTTAAGTAGAATAGCAGTAAAAGTGCTGTAGGACAATGTTTATCTGGGATGCCGAACACCAGAGCCATTCGGTGTTAGAATTATCCTCGAGTGAGTTCCTGTGTTATCATGTTTTATAAATTAGGACGCTGGAATGAAGGAAGAAACAATTGCTCCAGTGAGCAGTACCTGGCCACAGATGGGAGTGGTACAGAGGTGATGCCGTGAGGCCTGAGCAGCACGGGGACAGTGACAGATGAGCTCAGGATGCTGGGTGTCACTGAGCTGTGCCAGGGGCATAGATCTCAGTTTGCTAAGATCCAGCTTCCCCAACTCAGGAAATATCTGAAGCAATCTTAGGAAATGATCTCTCTTCCACTCTAAGATAATTTATGTAAATGTGCCTGAAAGAACACAAAGCACTCTGTTTTTTCCTCTTTACTGCTCAGAGAACTGTGTAAACCAACTGTTCCTAGCTTCTCTGTAGTTGGCATCGTCCTTTTATTGGACTCTACACACCTCTGGGCTTGGCAGGAGTGACGCTTAGGTATTGGCATACTGGGTTAGAGGGCCAGGAAGTTCTCTAGAGAAGGTGCTACGTGATTCTAGTTATCCTAATAAACAATCATGCTTATTATTCCAACCCTTTGCTGGGGAGGTGCATGAAGCATGCTTTCTTCTCTTCATATTTTGACTACTTGAGCTTTTGCTGGTCCTGGCAGGTCTGTCCCTATAGCTGGCCCTGGCAGCTAATTCCTAGAGATAGGAAGGACTCGCTGGTGAGTGTACTTTTCAATCCAGATCACAACCTCCAGGGCTAATGTTCCTTTACACTCAGAGCCCACTGAAATCATCCCAAGGAGCTAATTCTGCGCCTGCTCACCCTTCCCTTCTGGTTCCTTCCAAGGAAATCACAAAGAAAAGCTCTTGCCCACATAATCTTCATGTTCCCTCTGCCTCGTGACCAACCCTTCCCCATAGGGCCTCTGCATAGCATGGAGTGGACCCCTTCTTATAGGATCTGTGACCTAACCATCTTCTCAACAGTGATTGTCTCCTGATCTTTTGGCCTCATCATACCTGAATAATAATTAAACCTACACCTTACAACAGGAGGCTTTATTGTTATCCCCATTTCATGGATGAGGAAACCAAGGCTCAGAAAAGTTCTTTCTTACCCAGGATCACACAGCAAAGAAGAGGGACCCAGGTCATCTGAGTCCAGAGCTGTGCCACCGGCCAATACACTATACCAGGAGCTTATACTCCATTCCATTCAAGAATCTCTTGCCATCAGGGAAGTGACAGTTTTGAGGTGCAGCCTGGCAGCTGATGGTTGGAGCTGGCAAATGAATTACAAATGGGTTGCACGGACCATTGATGTGGAGGGAGGAGGTGCCTTTCCAGAGTTTTTCCTTGTGCTCGGTACCTTACAGATGCTTTCTGGCTCAATTCTTAAGATGCCTCAGTGGTCTCATTATCTCTAATTTACAGCTGGCTGTGAGCGGTGGTGTAACTCCCAAGCCCAAGGAGGCTCCATGGTTAAAAGCTCCAACTGTGGAGTTTGGAAGTTGCAAGCTCAAGTCCCCGCTCCACCACTAGTGGTCATAAAGCAAATTCTGCAGTCATTTGTAGCCTCGATTTTCCCAGCTTCCAGTTGGGAATAACAGGACACTTGCTTTGAAGAGTGCTTTTAAAGGCTGCATGAGACAGCGCACACAAAGAGCTTAGCACAGTGCTCAGCACACTTTTAAGAGTTCATTTTTGTTCTCAGTCATTCCTGAGCTTGAGGTTCCCAAGCAACCGGGTGCTCCTAATGGGCAGGAATCCAAGAGCACCAGGTCCTTCGCAATTCAGCAGTGTCATAAACAAAAGCCTCATTAAAATCTCTTTTTAAACCCATCTTTTAAGAGAAATTTACTTTGGGGAGAAAAAAATATGCTAAAAGATGAAAATTCCAGTGGAAAACCAATTACTCACTTGGGTACATTTTGTTAATTCCATTTTTTTTTCTTTTGCTAAATTTACACTAAACTATACCAACTTAATTATTGCAGTTTGCTTTCAGAAAATGATGTCTAGCAGGTTGAAGGTGTGGGCATTAACTAATCAGGGCAAATGGCAGCCTCCAGAGGGGTCCGATCCACAGAGGCGGAGAACTGTGGTCTCCCCACAAACGCCCCTGCTGGAGCGGATGGTAAGGAAATGGGGGATACTTTTCCACTGAAGTGTTTCTCTAACAGGTCTCAGTGGTGTGAAGCCTAACCGCGAACATCTGCAGGCTGGCGACCTTCCCAGACAGCTGCGCCAGCCCTGTGTCCCCCCGGCCAGCCCTTGCACCCACGCCATGGAAAGTCAGGGCAAGGATCAGCATGGCCATTTGAGGAAGGGCAGCGTAGAAGCTGTCCCGGCTGAACTGCTCAGACTGCTCTGCCCTGCATCCTGGGGCTGCATCGTGGACTCTTCGTGTCCTTCCCCGCTTCCAAAGACGTCGTCTCCTCCATCGTGGCTCCAGTTACTATCTGCCCACAAATGCTAACTGCTTCTTTCCTAAGCTCTACAAGTGTGGAGTCAGCTGCCTGCTGGCCGGTTTCCATGGTTATCTGCGATGCTGCTCAAACTCACTGTACCCAAGCCTTCCTGGTTCAGCCCAATCCACCTCACCTCCAGAGTCTCTATCTTGGCTCGCGACACCACTCTACCCACTCGCTTAAGGCCGATATCTGGGTACCACTTACCCTCACCCTGTCATTGAGCTAATACTTCCCTCCCCTAAATGCCCCTTCCATTCACTCGGAGCCTGTAGAACTCCAGGCCCAAGCTCCACAGAGGCTGCCAGCATTTCCCTTCCTGTGACCACCCGGGCCCAGTCACGAGCTTCTCCATTCCACTCTACACGGCGTGATCTGACTGAACCAGAACTCAGATTACAACTGCGCCGCTTCTCTGCTTCCTAAGCATCAAAGGTGCCCTCGTGCCCAGGAGAGGAAGCGAAACCTCCTTTATTCTTTTACTAAGTAGCTGCAGGACGGACCCTGTTTCCCTGCCTAGCCTCTCATCTAACCACCCCCAGCCTCACTTTTCCCCAACTCTTCATCAGCTCCCCTCTCTGTCCTCCACCTGGTATTTTTCCACGGTGGGCAACATGTTCTCTCTTACTTTTGTACCTTCCCACCCATTCCGTCTGAAGCGCTTCCCTCTGCCCTCATGTCCAGCCTCTAACACGGGCCCAGGAGTCATCTCCTCCTGGAAGCCCTCCCTCGTGTGCCAGGCTGGACCCCGTTCCTTTAATGTTCCCACACTGCGATTTCTCCTTTGCACAGCATGTGCCCCGCTTTGCGAAACCTGACTGTTTCCTTGTCTGTCCCCCACCACACAAGAAAGAGTAAGGACCTACAATGAGTTTAAAACGTGTCTTAGCCAGATGTGGTGGCACATGCCTGTAGTCTAAGCACCAAGGGCTGAGGCAGGAGGATTGCAAGTTTGAGTCCTGCCTGGACACTGAGTAAAACCCTTTCACAAACAAACCAACCAAGCAACCCCCAAAAGGGCTGGGGATGTAACTTAATAGTACAGTGCCCCAGTACTGCAAAAGTATAAACAAATAAAAAGAACACAATAAAATATGTCCACAAAAATTCTTTGATACTCTTTCCTTGAAATAGCAGAGCTTAATTTTCTTCTATTGAGTGTGGTTGGACTTAGCAATTTGCTTCCAACAAGTAAAAATATGGTGGGAGCATTCAATATATTTTTGTGAACTGTAGTCACCCTAACTATGTGATACATTTGGAATAGAGGGTTTTTAAGTACTCTCATCATAAAGAAATGTTTATGGTGACAGACGTTCTACTTACCCTGATTTAATCACTATACAATGTGCTCCGGTACTGAAAGATCACAGTATATCCCCTGTGTGTGTGTGTGTGTGTGTGTGTGTGTGTGTGTGTGTGTGGTTATGATTCATCAATCAAAAAATAAATCCTTACTATAGGAGTATTGTGATGCTATGTACCACTGGACAGTACGTCAGGTCAGGGCCCGCCACCATCCTGTAAGCTTGCTCAAGCTGCTGGTGAGAGCTGGTGAGGAACAGATGCTTCTTCCTCACTTGGCCATGGCGCCTGACCCGTTGGGCTTTCTGATGAGACCCGCACCCTGGCTGACATCCAGACCCCAACCTCACAAGAGACCTGAGTCAGCTCAGAACCACTCAGCTCAGCTGCCCCAACTGCTGACCACAGAATGTGAGATAACACATGCTCTGGGTTCCTGATTTTGGGGAAATTTGTTATGTAGCACTAGATAACGAATACAAGACTGAATCTTGTATCTCCGGCATCTGTCGCAGTCCTCGTACTCAGAGAGCATCCAGGAAATAGCTACTGAGAAGTTAGGAAACTTGTGTTGACAATGCAGCCAGTTAGAAGCTGAGTGTGGGTCAGGGTTAGGGTTTGTGTCACCCCTCTCAAATCCTCCCAATATTCACCCAGAAAACCAGCCCCATGCACAGGTGCCCAGTCCTTCCAAAACAATGGAAGGAAGGCTTGGGAAGTGCCCTCTGCCCAGGCTGTGGCTCTTGAAGGCCAGGACTGGGTCCACCTACCCAAGGGCAAAGACGTCAGAGTGCTTGGAGAAAGGAAGCTTGTCCTCCTCTGTGTCAGGGGACAGCTGGCGGATGATCTCTGGTGCCAGGTGGCACAGCCAGCCATTCTGGATGCGCAGTTTGTCCTCTCTCCTGCAGAAGCAAAGCACAGAATAAGCTTCAATTCTCAGCATAGGAAGGACAGGTCCCAGGCCCCAGAATCACCTCTGCTGGCCCCTCCTGCTTTCCCCCTCTGGGCACCATCTCATCTACTTGAGACCAACACCCAGCAGGAGTTGCAGGGAAGAGAGGGCAGGGAAGTGCCCTGGAGAGAGGCCATGCAAACCATCCTCAGGTCCAGTGGCATCTGTGTACCCCTCCTGTCCACCTTCACCCAGCAAATACCCCCAATTCTTGTTCTGCATGATATTTGCCTTCATGCAGTATTTGAATGCTACTCGGGAAAATGGGTACACACAAAAATGGCACCCCAGTTATGACCTAAAATCCTAAAAGCTCCCAGGAGGTTCTGTTTTCTTTATTTTACAAAGCAGAACATGGGCTGGCTTTGGATTTGGTGATTCTTTGAAGATCTCCATCAGCAGAAGTGGGAAGAGGCTCTGCCAAGTTCCAGAGCTCAGATTCCAACCTGTCCAAGTGGCCCCAGGGTTGCGGCTTCCTCTGCCACCCATGCTGCCCGTCTGTCGCATACTCTGGATGGCTCTGCATGACGCTGAAACAGGAAGGCTAAGTGTCCCTTTTTCGACCTCCCTCAGGAATGTGTACATTAGGTGACTCAAAGTTTTTACCACTCTGCCTGCCTGGGAATGACTGCAAAACAGCTGTGAGTATTGATTTTGGGATAACAGATACATCTCAGGGAGCAGGCAAGTTTACAAATGTGGAATCCATCAACAATGAGGTCTGTGTTTATTGATCACCTATTTATGCCTTGCTTTTGTCCTTGGCAGCAGGAATGCAGCCATGAATGCAACAAACAAAGTCCCTGCCCTTGCACTTAGGCAGGGGAAGGAAACGACAAATGCGTCAAATACAAGCCGGGTACACTGGTGCGTGCCTGGAATCCCAGCCCTCTGGGAGGCTGAGGCAGGAGCGCCGTAAGTTTGAGTCCAGTCCAGGCAACTTAGTGATTTAGTGAGATGCTGTCTCAAAAATAAAAAATAAAAAGAGCTGAGGATGTATCTCAGTGCAAAGGCCCTGGGTTCAACCCCCAGGACTCTGCGTGTATGTGTGTAATGTTATGAAATAATTAAGATAGGGAAATGTGCACATGATAAGGAGGAACTTACTTTAGGTAAAGTGTGAGCTAAGATCTACATGACACAGAGGACTCTATTATATGAACCTAGAGAAGAACATCCTAGGCGGAGGGGAAGCAAAGGCAAAGGCCCAGGCAGGGCCCACTGGTGTTCTGGAAACCTGAAGCACACCAGTGTACTCAGAGCCCCTCATAAGCCCTGTGTGCCAGCTTGTGCAACCAGCTCCTTGTTGATGGGCCCTCCTCAGTTCCTCCTCTCATCATTATAAACAATGCTGCAATGAACATCTTCGGGAGAGAACATCTCTCTTTTCCCCAGTTTATGATGACTAGGAGAAATGTTTAGGAGGGGAGGGAGCCTGGCTCCCTTCCTACATGGCAAGGCTTGAGTGAGTCAGAGCTTTCCTCTCATACTGACATCTGAGCAAAACAGCCATGAGCTTGCCGCTGACGGCTGACTCCTAGGAAAGGGCCAGGAACCCTGGAGAAGTGGGCAGGGCGGGAGAGGGGGAAGATTAAGAGTGAAAGTGTGCAGCGCCCTGCCTCCATGAGGGTCTTGGTGGGGGCCCGGGGCTGGCTGGAGTCTGCCGCTTTTCTGGAGTGCATTCTGAGCAGTGTAAGGTCCCTCAACTCGACTCATTTGTCTCCTACAGTCGTGACTTTCATCGTATCTCCTTCAAGAGCACCACGGTCCTGGAGAACGTTCTGGAATGATGGTGTCTATGGCTCTGTGGTTCTATGTCTCTGCTGTCTATTTTGGCAGCCACAGGGGCTGGTGGCTGCCAAACATTTGAAAGGTGGCCCGTGTGACTGAAGGGCTAAAGTTTTCATTTGATTTCATTTTAATTAAAATTAAATTTACTTAGCCTTACACAGCTCATGGATAATAAACTGCACCACACAGTTCTGGGTGATTATTTACTAAAGATGAATTTCTCCCTTCTTGTTTTAAGAGGTCACGCTTTTGCACAGCCACAAACAGAAACTTGGCCTTTGTAAAACACACTAAAATTAAAATGAGAAATTTCTGCTCATGCCCTCCCTAAAACCAACTTGTTAGCTGTGCTTTCAGAAGCCCTAGGAAGAGGAAAGAACCCCAGATGAGACTCCAGGAGTTTGGAATTTGGGGTGCCGGTGCTGCAACTGCATTTGCTGGCTGTGGGGGAGGACTTGGGTGCATTCCAGGTTTAGGCTTTCTTGCCCCTTTATTGCTTTCACATGAAGAAGCAACACTTCTAAGGCGCTCAAACTGCCAGAAGACTTCAAAACAGGCATTCTGGGCGGGAGGCAAAGCTGAGATTGAACCTTCCATTGTGCCTGGACAGTGGGGCACCGCAAGACACTGGCCATTGGTCTAGCTCCTACGTTCTCACACTAGGACCAGGCTGGCTTACAAGTGACAGCACCAGTGTGGTCAGGTGGACCCTGCCCACTTCCTCTACCATTTTTCTGGGAAAAAAACCAGCCCCTGTTGAGAATTACTGTTCTAATTTATATAAGATCAGGGTTTCATATTTTAGGGTTTCAGCATCAGTAGCACATGACTTACTCCTGCATTCTGCACAAAGAATAAATCCTCTGCTAGAAAACGGGACTCAAACCCACTAGCCAACCCTAGAGGTGGTAGAGTCGAAGGCATTCTTGCCACCCAAATCAGGGACGACTGCAAAGGTTTAAGGACTTTGAGCAGACCTGAGCTTCCATTTTCACATTTGCAAAATGAGCGTGTTGGTTTGTACTTCTCATGGCTACTGCAGGGATTAAAGTGAGGCAGTGCGTGGACAAGGTTAGGTCAGCGGCCAGAGTGACATGATTATTGGACATAATTACTACATGTGTGTATATTACACATTTTACCTTGAGGACTCAGAAATGTAATTGAGAGTAGAGCCTACTGTAAGAATGTCCATCAAGGCACAGGGCCTGAGAGTGGGCCAGCCAACATTCTTCTGGCATGGGCAGGCCGGAGGGGGAAGGTGAGTGGATTCTGTGGCCTCAAGGAAAGCTTCCCCGCCCCTTGACCTCCTGAGTATCCCGTGGTCTCTTCCTGCCTTGCTGGTCAGCAGAGGACTGGCAGGACATGGCCACTGGGGCAGAAGGAGGAGAGTGGCCAGCCACACAATTACCATCAGCCCGGGGCAGGCATGGGCACATGGCTGGGAGGGGGCCAGAAGCCAGGCCTAGCACAGACACCCCAGGGCGTCCTGTTACCAGGGCAACAGGTCCACCAGCGACAAACCAAAATCGTCTTCATTATGGTTATTATTATGATTAATAACAGGCTGCCAGTGGCTGGCATAAGGCTGGCATCTCAGATGACACCTTTTCTTGATGATGGTAGAACAGTCGTACACTGGGTTCTGTCTAGAAGCACGGAACACACTTCTTCATTGGGCCACCTCTGTCCCTGCCCCAGACCAGGCGAGTTTCCCCTGGTGAGCACCTACTGTATGACTGCTTGTTAATGCCCATAAACCCGTGCTCAGAGAGAGACCATCTCGGTCTGCAGATTAGGAAACAGAGGCTCAGAACATCTCAGTGACCTGCCCAGTTCTTCAGCGCCCAAGATTGGACTCCCCACCACAGCCCCCAAGAGTTCCTGGGGGGAGTCAGCACCCCTGGGAGCAGAGTACAAAGAGGCCATCCTGGTCTCGGCCCCTCTGCCCTGTTTCGTCTCTAAAGGTAGGTACTACTATTGTCTTCTCCACCCCCCTTTACAGGCAGGGAAACTGAGGCTCAGGAAGTCAAATAAGCTTTGATCATCTATATCCTGGAGTTTGGACTGAACTGTGTCCCCCGTTTGAAATTCATATGTTGAAACCCTAAGTTTCAGTGTGGCTGTAATTGAAGACAGGGCTTTGGGGGATGTAATTAAGGTTCAATGAGATCATAAAGCCAGGGCCCAAATCCAATAAAACTGTTGTCCTTATAAGAAAAGACATCAGATCTCCAAGCCATGTGAGGACATGGCCGTTTCCAAGCCAGGAAGCGAGCCCTCACTAGAAACCAAGCTTGCTATGCCTTGATCTTGAACCTCAAGCTCCCAGAAATGTAAGAAAAATCAGCGCTTGTTGTTTAAGCCACCAGGTTGTTGTATTTTGTTATAGCAGCCCAAGCAGACTGATAACACTCCTAAGTACTCACTAATATTTAAAATTGAAGAAATGAGTGAGGGGACTTCCAGGCCTGGCTCCTTCAGTTGATGCCTCTGCTCCCCACAATGCCTGCAGCCTGGCCAGCTCCCCAATCTCTCTATCCCACCAATCAGGCTGCCAATCTGGGCCCATGGATACCCCATGGTCAAGGGGATCTCCTGGTCTCCAACTGCTATGCTGGGAGGTTCCAGTCTGAACTCAGGGCACTTCCGGTCTAGAGATACCTATTCACCGGTGGGAGGCAGGAAACAATGGCAGGAACCCCTGAAGGGGACGCACAGATCCCCAAGGCTGCACTAGAGAGGCAAATGCTGGCTATTAAATGTGAAAGGTCCTAGGACCCCTGGGGCACCCAAAGAGTTCCCCCTTCCTGTCATGGTCCCCAACCTGCCATGTGGTAGATAAGAGACAGACAGCTGCAGTCTTTGTTGTCCATCTCACTGGGAGGCAGAGTCTAATTCTGCTCACCTTGAATCTTGTTGGCCTCAAGTACTGCTGCCCTGCAATGGAATGCTCTAGAATTTATTTTTGTTTTGTTTGTTTGTTTGTTTGTTTTGACATAGGGTCTTCCACTTGTAGTACAGGCTGGCCTTGCACTGAGTAGGTAGCCCAGACGGGCCTTGAACTTAGAGTAATCCTCTGGCCTCAGCCTCCTGAGTGCTGCGATTACAGGCACGTGCCTACTTGTCATAAGGGCTCTGGTTACCCTGAGAGTGCGAGGTATGAGAGAGCCAAGTGTGGTCATGTAGGGGGGCTGCATGGAGAAAAGAGGGAGAAGGAAAGAGGAGGAAGGTAAGTCCCACCAACTCCCCAGCTGTTCCAGCCATGCCAGCTGTTCCAGATGTGCGAATAAGGAAGCCTCAGGTGACTAGGCTCGATTCCCTCTGACTGAACCCACAAGACAACATGACCTCACATGCTCAGCTGAGTCCAGTCACCCTGCAAAACAATAACAGCAATAATAACCTGTTCCACGGCATCAAGTTTTGGGGTGGTTTGTTGCACAATAATTCACGACTGGGATAAGGATAAAAGCACAGGAAGCTGTTGACAGCTGCTTGCACGCAGCCAGGAAATGTGAACTTCCCGTGGTTGCTTCTGTGGAGGCTCCGGGCCTCTCCTGACACTAACTGGGTTTGGGCTGATGACCAGGCTGGGGCGGAGGTGGACACAGCTGCTGCTGGACAAGGCTGAAGCCATTTTGCCCTTAACTTGAACTTCCTTCCTGGTAAATACGGGGTCTCCACCAAAGAGCTTAAAGGAAAGGAAGCTTAAGTCACCCTATTTCCTCTTCCGCCTCTTCCTTTCTGGGTGACTTCGGCCAACCAATAGTCTAAAGGGAGGAAATCAGAGGCCCTGCACCCTGCCTTCTACCTGGGCAGAATCCACTTGGTGAGGAACTGGAGAGCACAGACAGGCCCCCAGAAGGAGCAAGCTGGTTTGTTAAGGAGGCCTCAACCCAGATAAAGAAAGTACCTGCTGGACCTCCTTTTGTCTGAAGGCAAATAGCTGCGGTCACAGTGATGCCCCCAATGCTTTCCCAGCCACTCCCTTAACTCCCAGGGGCTCCCCCAATAGCAAAGCAGGCTGCAAGTGGTGCTGGGAATGGGAGGAAGAGGCCCTGTGTAATCTGTCCCCACTGGCCCTTTGAGGACTCTCTCCGCATACACATGATCTGTTTTCTGGTTTGCTGTTGACTTTTTTCTTCTTTTATTTTGTGGTACTGGGGAGTGAACCCAGGCCTTCACACTAAGCTATGTTCTCATCCCTTTTTTTTACTTTTTTATTCTGAGACAAGGTCTCACTAATTGCTCAGGCTAGACTTGAACTTGCAATGACTTTCTTATCTCAGGCACCGTCGATGGTTTTGGTGACCATGGAACTACTTTTGGGGTAGGGTAACATCTGAAAAAGAACCAGAAGCTTTTGTACGCTGCTGTGTCACAGGAAGGGTGCCATCGACTTCTGCCAAGTTTCAGGTGATGTGGCTCAGAGGGTAGGTATTATACAGCAGGAATAAAATTCCCTTCGGGGGCCCTGGGGTGTACCTCAAAGAAATCAGTGGTATTCCAAAAGAACTGAAAGTGAAATAAAATAAATCATGGGGCTGTCCTGGAGGAGCAGTGAGATGTGCAGTCAGAAAAGGCACACAAGGGTTTATAGTGTGTGTATGGTGTGTGTCTGTTCTAGCACACACTACAAAGTAAAAGCCACAGGGTAGAACTTGTGAATTATGGGTTGTTTATTTGTTGTCAAGCTGCTTCTCCCATGGTCAACCCAAGGCAGCTTGCTTTGGGGCAAGTGAAGTCTGAGAGTTAATTACTTAACGAGATGGCTAATCTTTCTCCTGGGTGATACAAGGAGGTATATGCAAATTAACACTAATTACCACAACTCAGCAGTGCTACTGTTTTGTTAGGCATTTGATGGGCACTGGGCGCTGTGTGGGATGTTTGTCTTGTGACATCTTCACAAGGACCCTCCGAGGTAGGTATGATTTTCTTGCAGGCAAACAAACTAAAATTTGGAGAAGTTGTGTGCCTCGCTGTACTAAAATTAATTAGTTCCTAAGACAACTTTGATCAAGGACTCCTGGGTGAGCCCAACTTCCAGGGAGTCTCAGGGTAAGAGGTAAGATCTCCAGATAAATTCAAGGGCTAGGTCTTTGTAGGATTTAGACTGCTCTGTGCCCAGTGACGCACGTGCCCTGAAGACTCCACGTGCAGGACAGATGTGCAAGGTGCTGGCCCCATGGGGATTAAAGAGTGACATTGACACGGTAGCCTTGCCACTGAGCTCAGTGACCCCAGGCCCAACCCTGACTCCCGAAGCCATTTGGGATGAGTTCCCACCTTCTAATGGTCCATCTGCCAAGAGGCCCTCTGGCCCTTCTGCCACTGCTCACCTGCCAGCTTGCAGCACCCCGGAAATGCTGAAGAGCCCAAAGTCTGTGATGACCACTTTGCCGTTGTCATAGAAGACATTCTTTGATTTGAGGTCCTTGTGAAGTATCCCCTTGGCGTGCAGGTAGCCCATGCCCTGCAGGAAGCAAGGACACAGGGAGTCACCTGAGAAGACCTCCATGCTCTCTGGCACCCACACTTGGGTTCATGCTCCTTGTCCCTCAGTGTGACCACAATGACAGTGGCAGAACCTGGGGGCCACCCACTGAGGCTGAAGGTGGGGTGGGAGAAGGCACGGTCCCTGCATAACAAACCTGCCACTACCCTCAGTCCACTGCAAAGCCAGCTCCATTTAGCTTGTCTGGTTCCTAAAAAAGCAAAGGAAGAGGTCCCCAGAGGGAAAAGAGTGGGGACAAACGTGGGACAAGGTCCCTGGAGAAAGGAATTCCATCAGCCATCATTCGTCCCCTGGTCTCCCGTTAAGGCTAAGTCCTCTGCAGGGCTTGCACCTCCAGTTTACTTCACCCATGGCACTGCAAAACACACCTAGGTCCTCAGGGACGGTTCCTGACACAGAGATCAAGAACACAGCAGAGTCTATTGAAGGTGTAGGTCAAGAGCAAGCATGTAGAAATTGTTTTTTCTTCTGCGAGCAGTCATGTCTTTTATTTTATGTTTTAACAATTCAGTCCTAACACTTCCAATAGGAAGTAAAACCCTGAGGACAACTGACTAATAAAGCACCGGCAAGGAGACACAGGATGTTCCTGTTTGCTTTAATCCAAAACAACAACCAACAATTTGACATTTCCCCACAGCTGTGGAGAGAGATGGCTTGCACTCATGGGGATTTGAGGTCTCAGAGATAATGGATCCTAACCTGGAGAATCAAGCAATTTACATGTGTCCTCTGGCCTTCTCACAGGTCTACATATCATGATAATGAGGGGACCAGGCAGAAGCCCAACGCTGGTAGGCCATTCCTAAGGGTGCCATCTTGGTAGAACTCTTATATGCACACCACCTGGTATTTTTCTGTCCAATTTCTCTGAATTCCAGACCATGGTCTACATCCAGACCTAGAGTCTTAGGATTTTTGGGAAACTTCTCAGAAAGGTTCAAGTCTTTCAGAAGCTCAAGTAGGGGTCCCAGAGCTTACAATTTCTTACCTTCACAATTTCTTGTGCAATCTGCCTGGTTTTATTGACGTCCAGCACAATCTTGGCATCCCTCACCACAGAGTAGAGTGTCCGTCCCTTACAGAGGCTGAAAAGCAAAAGGAAAAGATCATTTATTAAAACTTTTGGCAGTCACTAAGGAGAAGGTGACCCATCACAGTTATTAGAAGTCACAAACAATGGAATGGATGTGCCACTCTTGTGCCTATGAGATAATTATCAGGCCTGGGTCTGGCTCTCAAAGCTGCTTCTAGGATGAAGATCTGGGGGAGTTCAAGAAATTCAACAGCTTCTCAGCTGTAAGGATTATCTCCAGACTCCAGCTGAGGGCAGCCTGGCTTCGCCAAGCCATCGATCCCAGGGTCTTACAGGTGGGAAGTCGTGCATAAACCAACAATTTGTGGGTTCTCAGACGCCACTCAGACAGCACTCTGCAGTCCAATCGGCCCCAGTGCTTGCATCTGTGGGGCGTGACCCATGTGCAGGGAGACTGATGAAAGACCCACAAGGTGAGGCTGATACATGTTAAGTGTCATCATTAATGATACATTCAGTCCTTCAGATGAGGATGTGCAAACACCAATAATACCGCCCCCAAACAGACACCTGTCCAGATAGAGGGTTTTTGAAACTATTTTCAGCCTCATTGAGCTCATTTTGAGGACCAGTGGCTTAAGATAAAGGACAAGTTGAAGAAGCGCATTGTGCACTAACAGAAACACCTCATTTAGCTGCCACACACTCATCCATCCTGGGCCTGAGTCCTGGTGCACAGAGCGGGTGTTCAGTATGCAGTGAAGGAAAGAAGGAAGGAAGGAAGGAAGGAAGGAAAAAATGAACTGTAGACTCTGCACAGTGTCCCCAGCCCCTAGCACTGGGACTGCCTCAAAGTAGCCAATGTTGGCTGAAAGAAGAGAGAATATCATTATGGAAATTAATTTTCCACCTCCATCAAAATAGCAGCTTGAATGTTTTTTTCTTACTCTGTGACTTTATTGCTAAAATACTGGAGGCATTGTGCTCATTCACTCAGCACTTATTGAGCCCTTGTTGTACGCTAGACTTGGTGAAATTGCATCTCCCATGCAGTGTCAGAGGGATCTCAGTTTGAATTCCAGCCCTGCTGTGTGTTGTGGGATGAGTCACTTAACCTCTCTGGGCATTTGTTTCTGTATCTATTAAAGGAAACTTATGACACTGAGCTTGCAGTTCACCTCTGTGCAGGTCAATCAGCCCCTCTGAGCCTCAGTGTGTTTATCTGTAAAATGGACCTGTGTATTCCTATCTCACAGTTATGAGAACAATCACCCAAGGTCAGGTGTGAAAGTAAGTCCTCCCGAAATGCTGGTTTATTAGAACGGTAGTAAAGGATCAATAAAATGGTAGACAGACAGACAGACACACACACACGTGCACATAAGAAAGTGATGCATTTATACACACATTACATCTGTCTCCCTACCTCTTCAGTCTATCCTTCCACACACACAGCCACCCACATACCCTTTTCCCCAGTGCTACCTACAACCGCCTGTGATCTTTGCCCAAGATGCATTTCACTTCACCTGTTTAAGGTGAGATTCCCAGGGCAGCTGACTCACACTGAGCCTGATTCACCTGTCCAAGGTCACCCAGTAAGTTGGAAGGAGGCAGCCCATAGTGACTCAAAGCTGCACCTCCCTTGCTGTCTGAGGCAGTGTGTTTGCTGAGCCTTCTGGAGGAGAGGAGAAGGGAGGTGGGCGGATTGGCCAATTAAGCCATATTGACATTTAAATATTCGAGATGGTAGAGATTGTGGGTGGATTTCCTCCCCTGGATACTTCGTTCTTGAACAGCCACCTACACTCATTATAGACCGAGCCCTCACCACTGCAGAAGGCAGAGCAAATCATCGCAACAGGCTCCCAGATACCTGGAGCCACCAGACAAACCAACAGTCACTGGTGGGCGTCTAAACAGGTGCAACCACAGTTTGGAACATCTACTAATGCAAGATGTACAGATAACCCATGACCAGCAACTCCTTCCCTGAGGACATACCCAGCAGATGTGCATGTCAGAGTCACCAAAAAACATGTACTGCCATGTCCTCAAACGCTAGAAGCAACCCTTCCTGATAGTTCCAGACTGGAACCAAACTTTAGTAGACTGATTAACTGTGCTTTTGTAAAATTCCTATGATGAAATCCTAACTCTCAATGGACGGTGTTAGGGGGTGGGGGGCACGGAGGTGATTAGGTCCTAATTACCCTAATGAATGGGATGAGTGGCCTTAGAAAAAGTACATCAGAGAGCACTCTGACTCTCTTGACAAGAGAGAGGCTACAGTAAGAAAGTGGCTGTCTATAACCCAGACAGGGCCCTCCCCAGGGCACCACGCTCTGAGGTACCAGCCTCCTGAACAGCAGAGAATACACTTGCTATTGTCAATGAGCCACCTTGTTCGTGGTATTTTGTTACCTTTGCAATTCTTTTTTTTCTTTTTTCTTTTTTTTGGTACCGGGGATCGAACTCGGGACCTTGAGCTTGCGAAGCTGGTGGTGGAAACACTGAGCTAAACCCCTGGCCCTGTTCATGGTGTTTTGTGATAAGAGCCTGAACTCAGACACAACCCAAATGTTTGCCAATAGAAAACTGGATAAATTGTGATATGTCCATATAAAAATACATTGTACTGGATTGTAAAAAATAAACTACCACTAATAGCAAAAAGCAGGGATGAGGGTTGTGGACATAATACTGAAGCCACACGCCCAAGCTTACTGAAAGATTCCATTTATACAAAACACAAGTGCAGTGAAAACCAATCCATGTGCTGAAAGGTAGCACAGTGATGACCTGTGTGTGCGTGTGTGTGTGTGTGTGTGTGTGTGTGTGTGTGTGTGTGTGTTGGGGGTGACTGGGGATTAAACCCAGGGGCTTTGCACGGTATTATATCCTAGCCCCTTTTAATTTATTTATTTATTTACTTATTTTTTTGAGGCAAGGTCTTGCTAAGTCTCTAAGTTTCCCAGCATGGGCTTGCATTTATGATCATCCTACTTCAGCCTCCCAGAGTGTCGGGATTACAGGCACCGGCCTCCCTGCCGGGCTTGTGTGTCATCTTTCAAAAGAATAATTCACCTAAAAAAAAAATCAATGAGGCCAATTAGAGAAATGCAAATCAAAACAACACTAAGGTTCCATGCTACTCCAGAAAGAAAGGCAATCGGCATTCGGCAATCTTTAGGAAATCCAACGATAAACAAAGGCCTGGGAGGTGAAACCCTCCTACACTGTTGACGGGAATGTAAACTAGAACAACCACTATGGAAATGAGTGCAAAGATTTCACAAAGAGCTGAAATTAGAAATTCCATGTGACCCAGCAATCCTCCTGCTAGATATCTCCCCCAAAGAGTTAGATCACCAGAGTTTAAGTCATCATAGTACAGCAATACATGATATATACATACCAATATTTATAGCAGCACAATTCTTAATAGCTAAATCCTGGAAGGAGCCTGTATACCCATAAACAGATGATTGGATAAAGAAAATGTGGTGTGTGTGTGTGTGTATATATATATATATATATATAGAGAGAGAGAGAGAGAGAGAGAGAGAGAGAGAGAGAGA